AAAATTTCCGGAACAATAGAAAAATTAATCAACTTCAGGAAAGATTCAAATCCTCAGGGAAACCCAAATAAAACTAGGATTTTTACGAGGGGGCGACTCTATCTACGATGCAGAAAAGATTGTGTTTTGCTGTGGCTAGCTGCACGCACGCTGAGTAGATAGAAGGAAGATTTATGTCGATTTTGAAGATTTCCTGCAAAAACATGAAGCACGATGCAAGTAGATGCGAGAAATGAAAGATGATTTTTCGAAGATTGATTCGCTAGTGTGAGATTTTTTGAGCATCTAGAATTGAGATTTAGATGTGTCGCCCCCCTCGGATTTTTACGCGAATTGACTACTTTTGGGGATGTTCAAAATCTTCCAGAGAACCACACCGCTACCTGATTGCTAGTCCTAGATCCTAAATCATACATATAGCTTCGGAATAAGTGATTCGTGAAGCTCTTGAAGGACCGTTCCATGGCCACCAGGTGATAGGTACAGCTCAGAGGCGCCCCCGGAACGGGTGGTTTGACGAGGAGTGCCAGCGAGTGACAGAGGAGAAGAATGTCGCCAGAAGCCGGATGTTGGTGTCTGGTACCCGTCCGAACAGAGAGCGGTACAGGGTAGCAAGGTCAGCCGAGAAACGAACCCATCGCAGGAAAAAAGGCAGTACGAGGAACGCGTTATTGCTGAGGCGCAAGAAAGTATGAAGCAGAATGATATGCGAAGGTTTTACGCAACTGTCAATGGCGTGAGGAGTAAGACAGCGCCGTCTCCCGCCATGTGCTATGACCGTGAAGGTAATCTGCTGACAGATAAAACGATGGTGGCTGCCAGGTGGAAGGAGTACTTCGAGACGTTGCTGAACGGAGAGAACGAGAGAGCATCTACAAACAGAACACACATCGACGACGAGTGTACCCCATTTGGCATAAATACGTTAGGCATACGGACCTTAGGCATACGGACCTTAGGCATACGGACGTTAGGCACACGGACGTTAGGCATACGGACGTTAGGCATAATGAACGTTAGGCATACAGTCATTAGGCATAATAAACGTTAGGCATAATGGACGTTAGGCATAAAATACCTTGCTGCTGTGCAACTCTAGAAAACTGTTTCGAGCATGGTAAACAATGAAATCCATTATTTATCATATCATAAGTGACGTACCTACATATTTACTTAGATCCAAGATTAGTAGCGATAGTGGTTAAGTAATCTGGCAACAAAACTCAGCATAGTTTTTTACTACATCTTGAAATCAATCGCATATAGAAATAATAAAGCACACATTTGTTGTAATATATTCTTACACATCTATTGCAAATCCGGGAAACTTTGAGATTTGGGCGTAATTGCTTTTGTAAACAGACATGTCAATCGCTGATCGCGAATAAAAGAAAAATCTCATGAACAAACTATACCAAATGATAGAGGAACCATTCATCTGCCTGTTTGTGTTGTTAGTTTTTTAGATTGAGCTTTAATTCGCGAGAAATCGTCAAATGAAGTGTTTGTTTACCAAAGCAATTACACCCTAATATCGAAGTTCTCCGGAAATGTCAAAGAAGAAAAGGTTTTCGTCAAAGAACAGCTCATGAAATAAAGAATGGTGAATTCTGTGAATTTCCATTCAATAACAAAAAAACAGCTGAGGTTGAATAAAAGATGATGCCAAAGAACAGCTCATGAAATGAAGAATGGTTTTTCATTCAATAACAAAAACATATCTGATGCTTCCAGGATTTACTCCCATACTTTTCGATACAACGATTGTGTTTTTGTTGCCATCAGAATGAATACTAGCAGAACTGTCTGCTGATGTGAGGGAGCGATACTTCCATGAACAGTGACGAGTTGCCGAAACAAACAAGGAACTGTGATCTTCAACCAAAAACAACAAGAACAAGAATCTTCAACCAAAAACTTTGCCTGTCCAAGACGTCGCAAGTTTTCATTAGTCCCATAAATTAAGTCTCTTTTATTATTGTCACCGATGTCAGCAATCAATACACGGTCCCCATTATCATCCTTCTGGAATTCAACGGGTAGATTATGCCTAACGTCTATTATGCCTAACATCCTTTATGCCTAACGTCCATTATGCCTACCGTACATTATGCCTAACGTCCGTATGCCTAACGTCCGTATGCCTAACGACCGTATGCCTAACGTCGTGTACCCCATCGACGACGATGGTCAAGCTGTGGAACCACCAACGCTAGAAGAGGTGAAAAAGGCGATACGAGAGCTGGAAAACAGTAAGGCTGCGGGGAAGGACGACCACCCGGCCGAACTTCTCAAACACGGAAGTGAGCAGCTGCACCAGATGATCCACCGTATACTGCTCAGATTATGGGAGGAGGAAGAATTGCCCGCTAGTTGGTTGGATGGTCTCGTTTGTCCCCTCTACAAATTACAGAGGAATCACCAATTACAGAGGAATCACGCTTCTGAATTCGGCGTACAAAATAGTATCACGTGTTCTGTTCAACAGATTGAGACCGCTTGAGGAATCCTACGTCGGCGAATACCATGCTGGTTTTCGTGAGGGTCGATCAACGACGGATCAAATGTTTACCCTGCGTCAAACCCTTGAGAAGTTTCGGGTATACAACTTGCAGACTCATCATCTGTTCATAGATTTCAAGGCAGCGTACGATTCAGTAAAGAGAAACGAGCTATGACAGATAATGCAAGAAAACGGTTTTCCGACGAAACTAATTAGGCTGATTCGTGCAACGCTGGATGGTTCGAAATCATGTGTACGGGTTGCAGACGAGATTTCGGCCTCGTTCGTGACCTTAGATGGGTTGAAGCAGGGAGATGCTTTTTCGAACTTGCTATTCAACATCGCCCTCGAAGGAGCGATTAGGAGAGCTGGCATGCAGAGGAACGGTACCATCATCACAAAGTCGCACATGCTCCTTGGTTTTGCGTACGACATCGACATCATCGGAATCGACCGTAGAGCAGTGGAAGAGGCGTTCGCGCCTTTTAAGAGGGAGACAGCGAGGATTGGTCTCACGATAAATTCTACCAAAACGAAGTACATGGTCGCCGGTAGAAAGCGTGGGAGCAATAGTGGTGTTGGTAGTGAAGTGGTGCTAGATGGCGAAAAATTTGAAGTTGTGGACGAATTTGTTTATCTTGGTACTTTAGTGACGTGCGATAATGATGTTACCCGCGAGGTGAAAAGGCGTATTGCAGCCGCGAACAGGGCTTTCTACGGGTTGCGTAGCCAGCTGAAGTCCCGCAGCTTGCGTACGAAAACCGAAATTCGTGCTGTACAAGACGTTGATTCTGCCGGTAGCCCTTTATGGCCACGAATCGTGGGCATTGAAAGAGGCCGATCGGAGAGCTTTCGGTGTCTTCGAGCGTAAAGTGCTGCGAACAATACTCGGCGGTAAACTGGAAAATGGCATCTGGCGGCGTCGCATGAATCACGAGTTGTACCAAGTATAAAGCGGCATGGATATTGTGAAGCTTATAAAACACGGCAGGCTACAGTGGGCTGGGCATGTGGCACGAATGCCGGAAGAGCGTCAAGCGAAGTCAATATTCAGCAGGGAACCCGAAAGAGGACGTCGGCTTCGGGGTAGGCCACGCACGCGTTGGCTTTGTGCAGTTGAGGAGGACATTAGGTCCTTGAACGTCCAAGGCGACTGGAAGCGATTGGCTCAGGACCGAGACCAATGGAGACGGTTACTTCGTTAGGCGCAGATTTGAATTCAACGAGTCGTCGCCCATCAGGTACTCAGGTACTCCATGGCCACCAGAGTGCACATACTGGTTTCAAATCCAAATTAGTTCATGCAGCATAACAACAAATTGATTTAAAAAAATCTAGATCCTTCTTTACTAATTTTCTACATTTACGCATGTTCCGGGACTTCCAGAGGCATGCTTTGCCGTCCCTTGGGTCCACATTTTTGTCCTAAATCCAAATTTATTCATATATCATAATGTTCAAATGAAAAACAAAACAAACATTTCGTAGATAGCAACGCTTGGGCCGGTTGCTTTCGCGCTGCTATATTTGTCAACCCGCTGTTCACCGAGAGGCAGATTCTTATTTTCCGCACTTTAATAGCAACCCTCAGTGCGGTTACTGCGTTATGGTGGAGGTTGCTAAAATAGCTTTAGCAACGCATTGGTGCGGGTGCTCTTAAAGAACCAAATTATCGCACGATCACAATACTTCCACCACCCATAGATGACCCATCTTGCCCCACCTTATTCTAATAAATGCATAAGTGCATGAGTAGGTATCTATAGCTTCCCCCGAAGTAGTACTCTAGAGTGGCACACAGGCAAGGCGAGTAAGAGTTTTTGGTGGGTATAATCCCCATTCATGGAGCAGTCGCTCAATGGCTTTTTAAAAGTTTCCTCTTATTATAAAAGACACACATGCACGTACACACTTTGAAATCCGAAAAAAGATACAACGGATATACTTATTCCCGGATGCTTTTTCTTTGTCCGTATTCCTAGATGCTAGAACTTCGACAGGTAGAATGCTGACCGGATATGCTATCCTTTTCAGCGAACTAACCATCCGGGAATAAGGATTCCTCACTTTATGTAAAGAATGGGTATAGTGAGCGGAAAATCGCAAAAATGCGTGGGGCTAAAATTGTGTTATCGCATGCATTAACGAAAGATTTTGTCACTCCTAATGGTACATCCATCAAAAAGTATACTCAAAATTACTGAAATTAATTAAAGAGCCTTGACTGGCATTCTCTTCCAAATGAAAGTTGTTATCGGTCAAAAGAAAAAAAAAACCAAAAGCAATGCAACAAAAAAGGAACATCTACCATTATTTGGAAAAACAAAAAGTACTATGATAAGGGAAATGGATGAGCATAATTTCTCGTGTCGTAGGCTCATAGTACTGTTTTTTTCCCCAAAGGTTATGCTAGACTTCCTTTTCTAGTAGATAACACAACAACGGGAAAGCAACAAATCAACTCAAGACAAAAAGACAACAACTTCAAACGGCTTACTCCGGGGCCGGTTCGAAACGACGTCCCAACGTCATCGATATTCGCGTAGAGATCTTGGATTGATCCCCCGATACACCCATCGTAGGATTTGTAGCGAGCTTTAGATAAAAAAGGACGCTTTATGCCGGAGGGTTGCTGTTGATTTTGCTGCTGTTGTTGTTGTTGTTGTTGTTGTGGTTGAGACTGTTGTGAATGATTTTGAATCACTTGCGATGGAATCATCATAGAGGACGAATTGAGAACGACTGGTGCAGATCCCGAGAGTTTGGCCGTATTAGGCTGATCACTAGCCTCTCCGGCAGCCAGTAAGGAATCGGTGAAATCATCATCCTGTTACGCGAAATCAAAAGTCAATCCGCGCAGCATGAAGCAAAGAGATTAATGTTTGATTTTCAACTGGGAGTTTCCAGAAAACATGCCTAAAAGGGGAGGAAAAAGCAAAAAAATATACTCACTTCTTCTCTAGTCAAAATATCATCCGGATCGTCGCTGATTTCGCTGAGATTGTCCTCATCCATGGGCTCAGGAGGAGCAGCAACCGGCTCGGGAGGTTTCTCTGTCGTGGCAGCTGCGTTGGCCACCGTACCTTGTTCCACTGCGTCGGGTATTGCTGCATTATCTGTAGATTCGACGCTTTCGGCAGGTCCAGTAGATGTGGCACTGTCAACAGGAGCAGCAGTAGTAACGGTAACAACAGTTAATGGACTTTGTTGAGTTTGTGATTCCTCGACGGGTTTAACAGCTGGAATCCCTTCAGATACTTGAGGAATCGGGTGAATTAGAGGTGGAAGATCATCTTTAGGTTCATTAGAAGTTGTCGTTGGCGTTGAGACCGGTGGTTGTACGTTGGAGTCGATCATTAATGGACCAGGTTGGGCTGGTCCTGATTGACTTAACTGATTAGAGGGTCCTGGGCCAATAGGTTGTGATCCTTGTGTTTGTTGTTCTTGCTGCTGCCGTTGTTGGAGTGGCGGATGTTGGTGTGGATGTTGATGTTGGGCTGCAAGATTTTGCTGAGTGCGATTGATGCTATACTTATTCTGATTTCCAAAACGACCTGGAGCTATTCCTGCGGGGGGTCCATTACGACCGTGGCGTTGAAACATTGGCTGATGGCCTTGGTGCTGCCGTCGGAACATTGTGTTGTCATTCCCGACTCTATCACCGAGCCTTCCGGCCAATTTGTGGCGTGGGCCAAACTCCATATCTTCTTTTGGTTTACCATGCCAATTTGGTCCTTGGTTCGGCTCAGGATGTGTATGTTGCCATCGACGACCACCACTATGACTGTGAGAATGCGTCGGCGGCCCCACAGCTGGATGATCGTCGTGTTCCCATGCACGCTCCTTGAACTTCCATTCATTCCGTTCCTTTTCGTTAACCCAACCATCAGCTTCTTTCCAGCGTGATTCATCCCAGTTCCTAGACGGACCTTGATAAGAATCAGGTTCATGGCTGTGGCTATGTGGTGGACGACAGTGCTCACGATCCCAATCTCGACCGTGTTCTTCACGTCTTTCATACGTACGCGGCGCTGGTGGTGCACGATCTGGTTCACGGTTCCGTTCCCATTCTCTATCAAGTTCTCGTCTTGGTGGAGGATCATCCGGGTATTCGGTGCGACCATAGTCTTGGCTGCGACCTCTTTCTCTGTCGTAAGCGGGCCGGCCTTCAGGTTCCCTGTACTCTCGGGTATCTCGAGCTGGGGCAGCTGCATGACGGTCATATGGACTATCACGGCTCCTTGCGCCTCTAACAATAGGAGCCACATATTCTCGTTCCCTGGAACGAGTACGACGATCATGATGTTCTATAAATCCTGTAATTAGAAACTCCGTTAGTGGGGCTAAAGTTGCATAATTATTTTGATTTTACCTCTTTCCACGACACCACGGTCAAATGATCGCTCCCGAGGAGCGAGCCGATCACGGCTTCTCGGTGAGTTAGGAGTACGGCTACGGTCGTGATCGATTTTACCAGGAGATCTAGCAGCAGCCAAAGCTCGCGCACGTTCTGCTGGACGTGGCAAAAGTCGTTCAACTGGCCGATGGCGATCGGGTTTGTCCAAACCGCCATCAACAGGATTTTCTCGTTCGCGTCGGGGAGCTGGTCTCTCTTTAGCAGCGGCGAGGCGTTCCCGTTCACGCTGTCGCTCCTGACAACGAGCAAGCGCTTCTTCGCGTTCCTTGGTCCTGGCAAGTTCTCCCCGTTCCTGCCTTTCACGACGTTCACGGTCTTTCAGCGTTTCATGTCTTCGCCGATCGTCAATGCGTTCCGGGGACCGCTCTGGTCGTCTAACCACGGCTGCAACCGGTTCTCTATATCTAGATCCTTCAGGAGATTTTTTCTTCTCTCTTCCGCGGGCAGAAACCGGTACAACAGTCGGCGATATTCGTGCCCGTGGCGAACGGGATCGGATGTGCGCTCTTGGAGAGCGACTCTTGACGTGTTCCCGTTCCCGTTCTCTTTCGCGAAGACGCAAACGTTCTTTCTCTCTTTCGCGTTCCTTCTCCCGGAGAGCTAATTCACGTTCCTTTTCGCGAACACGTTCACGTGCATCAACAACGGCAACATGTTTTTCTTTCTTCAAAGCCACCACTTTTTTGACGGTGTATTTTGTCGGTGTCTTTCCGCTAGGGGAAACTTCCCTGGCAACTTTACGAATGTGACTGGTTGTTCCACCAGGACTCGTAACTTTCTTGACGCGAATCTTAGTTAAATGACCTCCGATTTTCTTAGTTACAATTCGCTTAGTTCCATCTGCAGAAACCTTTTTGACATGCTTCTTGGCAACTTTTTTGCCTCCGCCCCCATCCGAGCTAGAGCTAGAATCGCGTCGTTGTCTAACGGCTCGTTTCTTCACTCTTCTAGAATCTCGGCTGGAACTGCTCGAGCTAGAACTTGAATCCGAGTCTGATGAATCCGATCCACTGCTGCTCGAACTATCCGAACTAGAGGAAGACCTACGTGGTGCCGGTACCTTGCGAATCTTCTTCACTACCAGCGTCTCCTTAGCGGATTTTTGCTTCATCATTGACGATGAAGAATGATGATGGTGGTGATGATGACTGCTTCCACCTCCACTGGCGTCCATCTCTAGTTTCAGCTCGTGCTGTAATTCTTTTCGTTTGCGCTCTAGAATGTCCTGATCAGCATTCTCCAGACTGGATTGATCCCAGCCACCACCTCCGCCGCCTCCACCTGATGGCGCGGAACTACTACCACCACCAGGCCCACCTCGTTCTATGGTCGACGTAACGCTGTGTCCACCCCCACCACCACCACCACCACTACCACGTTCCGCTTCGCTCCGGTTGGAAACGTTACCCACGTTCGATGGGCCTACAACAGCGCCAATAGTTTCGCCTCTGCTAACTATAACCTTGCCGAGTTTGGCTGCAAGCTGCGCTTCAATGAGTCTGGCGTGCGCCGAGACACTCTCCGGTACAATTTTCGGAGGTGGAACCGGTTCGGGATCGTCACAGCCAACAATGCGCTTGACGATCTCTTCCTTGTTGACAGTCTGCGGAAAATTAAAAACAAAAAAAAAAGAATATATATTAGTTGAAAATACTCTAAATCTAACGGAGAGCTTGACACGTGGTCAAAAGCACAACCTGATAAATAGGGCATATCTCAAAATTCAGGATTTTTTGGGGCACGATCATTGAATTCCTGGACAATTGGCACTGTGCTCCTGAGTCGATCAAATAGATCTATTCCATTTTGACACTTTTAGTATATTTTTTTTTGCCAGGCGGATTTTTGTAATTCTAGGAATTTTGGCAGGAAATTTAGAGTTTAGCAATTAATAGTTAAAATTTATTGATGATTGTTTTAGTAGAATAATTGTATGCATTATTACATAGTTTTTCCTTTTAATTCTACTACTATTGTATCACCTTCACTTTCTCTAATTCACTATCCACTTTCACTATCATTTAAAACAAACTAAAACAGGATACGTATTTCGTTCACTAATGGAAATCTTCGTCAATGAAGAAGTTTGCAAGTAGTAAACGAAATACGTATCCTCTTATAGTTTTTTTTAAAGTGATAGTGTAAGTGAATAGTGAATTAGTGAATGTGAAAGTGATACAATAGTAATAGAATTAAAAAACGTAATAAAAGATAAATAAATAGTTAATTTAAGATTTTTCAAATTTCGAATCTATATTCAACATTTGAGCACATGATTTACGGAAGTCTTTTCCATACAATTTGTTTCACTAGATTTCTTTGGGCACATGCTAAAGGCCCACGCACATTAGATCCGGATCGGACGCGTTGCGGCAAAGTGACAGCTAAATCTATTGTCTAACTGTCAAATTTACGTCAACGTAACGCAAACGGATCTAATGTGAGTGGCCCTTAAGGGCTAATGGGAAAATGTTGCTTAAACCTTAAATGTTACTTAAACATTTTAAGAATGCGTAGCTACTCAGGTTTATTGTCTTTTTTGTTTTAGTCACGAGAAGCGTCTAGAATAAACTTCTACAAGAACACTCTAAAGAAAAAGATTTTAAAAGAAGTTTCTAAAAGAAGCTTCCAGAAGAACCTTCTAAAGAAGTTTCTTAAAGAAGCTTCCTTTGGAAGCTCATTCTAGACGCATGCCCATTAGACTGATGCAAATTTTGACATTTTCGCTCCACAGTGCTCAAACGGTTCCAAATTGGGTCCTGATTAGTCTCCCAAAATTTGAACTCATTTGAAAAGAAACTGATTTGGCACAAACCATTTGAAGTTTATATGGAAATTACTATTGGAAAACCAAATGTTTTGTTCATATCCATCTAAAAATTTACCATATAGCTCTGCTTTAAAAAATGATAACTGAGCTCGTAGAAAATTTTCTCAGCTACAATATAATGTAAGCATCAAAAGTTATCAATAATTCAAGCCACTAATGTCTTACAATTATGCTCAATCAACTGTTCAGCAGGCAACATTGGTGTTTCTGGCGCTTGGAATAGAGCACAAAATTCATGGCTACTATGTCACACTGCAAGATACAGTGTTGCTCACAGAACAGCTGCTTGATCATGCCATAAGATTATCAATCTCTTAAACAATTAATATCTATTTTATTTGACGTTTGGCTCAACAACTATATTCTGCAAAGTTGAAGCTGAGAAAATTTTCCATAAGTATAGCTTTTGAATTTTTGAATAGTGCCATATGGAAAAAGGTAAGAAGACAATGAACAAAAAGTTTGGATTTCCCATAGTAATTTCCATATAAACTTCAAATGGTTTGTGCCAAGTCAGTTTCTTTTCAAATGAGTTCAGATTTTGGGAAACTAATCAGGACCCGATTTGGAACCTTTTGAACACTGTGGAGCGAAAATGTCAAAATTTGCATCAGTCTAATGACAATCTCTCCCTTCTCAGACTAAAAACAACACAGGCAGGACAGTAATAGCAACAATCAATACAAAACTAACGATTTTAAATTGGCTCACTACTTGACTAGCCTATTGGTCCCAAGCGAATCGATTACGTACCCCATTCTAGTCAAAATTCTAGTACTACACTATGTTTGTTTTGATTCGCTATGAAACTTTAACAGATAAAATGACGGGTTAGTGGATTTTCCTATATTTCGAGAGGTGAATCGATTAGCTTGGGACCGAAGATAGTACCAGAGCTGAGCCAACAAAATTGAGCACGTTTCTTCGAGACCTTTTGGTCTTAGAGTTACCTCTATGGTAATAGCAACCGGTGGAAACTAACGATTTTAAATTGGCTCACTACTTGACTAGCCTTTTGGTCCCAAGCAGAGCTGGTAAATATCACCGCCATCATGTGAGAATGAGAAAACAGGTCCTCTCACAATCACGAGACGAAACTACATCCCGCATAAACAATAACCATAAGATGCGCCTAACCACCAATTCGGGATATCATCCCAATTTTATGTGGTATGGTCGCACCATCTAAGATATCGTCAGTATATGGTACACGTTTATTAGGGATATCATTCGTTTTCTTGTCATTTTCCAATGATCAAGCACTCATGAGAATAATTCTATTACGGTGTTTACATCTACATTTCTAACAGATTTAGATTAATTCAAGCATATTGTCGGTAGAGTGAATATGTTATTACGATTTTTTCGGTACAAGTAACTTTAAAAGTAATAAATGAGCTAGTAATTACAATAATCACAACACTGTCACGTTTTGTCATGACGAAAAATTTGATGAGATTTTGAAGAAAATCTCTATCATCGTTTTCTCATCTGATGATAGTGACAGGAGTATCTCTGTAAATATCGCGTGAGATCTTTCATTGAAAATGACATTTGTCAGCCCTGGTCCCAAGCAAATCGATTAACGTACCCAATTCTATGTTTATTTTGATTCGCTATGAAAGTTTGACAGATAAAATGAGGGGTTCGTTGATTTTCCTATGTTTCGAGGGGTGCATCGATTAGCTTGGGACGAAGAGAGTACCAGATACAGGGATCTACAATTTCGAAGCTCTAAAATGAACTCGTGTTTTGTTTCTCTCATACATACGTGTTCGACGCTTCATTTCTATAACGCCTAGCTAGACTACCAGCAAAAAACGAAAATAAAAAAAACAGGACGCTTAGAAAAAAAGGCTGGCTGTGGAACTTCTCGTCGTTGCTTTGCTCATCGCTTTCAATGTAACTAACGTCGATTTTCTAGTTAAACGAAACCTCATTATGGCTTTCAATCCCCTTTCACGAACACTCTATCACCGCTCTTTCAATTTGTTTAAAATGCGTTATGTCCCGTTTTCGATCATTTTTTTAGATAAATATATGGATGGAAGATAAATTAAAAATATGACGTGTAATCTTCAAGTGTTTTGACGTGAGAAATGCTTTAAATGTGTTATGAAACCTCTGTTGATGTGTTTCATGAAAGAGAAAACTATCGACTTTAACAGAAAAAGAAAGCCAGTAATCTCTGACCAGAGATGAGCCAAAATGTTGAGCACGTTTCTTCAGGACCTTCTGGTCTTAAAGTTACCTCTAGGGTAATAGCTAATTTGTTTATTATTCAGTTCCAACCTGGATCGGGTATCAAGATCGGCTCTGCTTGTTTTCTGACAAACGTCAGTTTGATCGTTTGCACTACAAGCGAAGTGACAGACGGAACGGCTCGAAAACTTTGGTGACGAACCTGCTATTGTAATTTTTTCAGTGTACCACATGGCAACACTACTATTGGATTGTACCACATGGCAACACTAAATGTACTACACCGAAAAAAGTTTTCATGTAGCTTCCATTGGAAACGCACATGATTTTCATCCATAATCAAAATTAATGGAATTCATCTGAATTACACATAAAATCTATGCGATCACATTAATTGTATATGATTTTTCATACACTGCAAATAAAATTCACGTAATATTCACCTGAAAAGGTACGTAGATATTTTCCATCGAACTTTTCAGGTGAATATTACGTGTTTTGGAATATTTTTTTTCTTCAAATGTGTCATATGAAAATCAAGTGATTTTCACGTAAATTTTATCGGACGTACCGATGGACGTCAAATTGGCTTCACTTAAAAGTTACGTGATTTTCTAGTACATTTCACTGGATTTTGCAGTAATGTTTATGTGAATTTATGGTAGATTTCTTTGGTTAATTTCTTTATTAAATGTATCTTAAATAATAATCAGGCACATTCTGCGCTGCGAGTGAGGTGAGGTGACTCGCTGTCACTAGTGAAGTCAGTTTATGTGAGGTGATTCTTTAGATGATGTACTCGGAGAGCCACCTCACATGAGGTGACTATTGTTACCTCACCTCACTCGCGGCACAGAATACACTGATACAAAATCCATTAACAAAAATACTATATTGCTGGTTTAAATTAAATACCCTTACCAATAGATTTGTGCAGAAAACAATTTCATTTAATTTTACTATTATTTCTATCAAAATTACTATGCATTTTGAGCAAGCATAGTAGTTTCGCCAGAAACAAAGTAAATTGTTTTACATTCGTAGTCAACTATACTGAATTCATAGTAGATTTAACAGTAATAAGCGTGGTTATATTGATAATAAGTGTTTTCTGCAAATAGTATTCCTAACTATGATCCTTGTTTCAGTGTAGGCCTCAATGCAGTGTAGGAACAATTCACGTAGATTTGAATAAAAGTAAACTTCATTAGTTGGATTTTTGGTTCAATTAATTAGCGTAATAAGCTTAGTTTATTTCTTAGTTACTACAATCTGTATCAAACCTATTCTTAATTCTATACATATAAAGACCGTTAATATGGTGTACGATGTTCAGCTCCGGGAACGACTTCTAGGGTGTCACAAAGAGATTCACTTCCGGGAATACTCTCAAGGCTTGGAATTTTGGGTGATATTATTGTTGCTCTATGTGCCTCCGTTGCTGACCAAGGCACTTATAATCGCTGCTTTCTGTATAAAAAACGGAAATTTGCAATGGGTTATTTATTGGTTTATTGTAAAATCATAAAATTTAGACACTTACATTTCTGTTTCGCCAGGAAATGATAAGC